TGTATTCATAACGATCTCATGTCTTTCATATATGTACCATTGTATCTTTTTGCCTAAATTCTTTTACTAAAACTATTTTAACTGGATTAATAAATAACCAACTTATTTTCATATAAATCATTGAACGGTCAAATCTACTCTAATAAATGAAAGCATGTCACACTCTCATTTAATTTGTCAAATATCATTTTGTGGTTATTTTGAATTAATTTCTTTTTCAGATGTCGTTTTATGGGTTATTCTATTTTAATAAATTTCACATAATACTTTAATGTAATAATTATAATAAATTTAGTAATAAATGAATATCAATTTCATTAATGAACTTATCTTTTTATTTCAAAATTCTTAAGTTAAAGCTCATTAGTTTATTTTGTTTATTTATTTAAATTTAAAAGATAAAAAAATCAATTCTAATAATTCATTATTTTTATTATTTTCTTATAAATCCAAAGTTCTTAAATATTTAAACCTTTATATTTAAATTTTTTAATTAACTCATATAATACATGGGGTCTTACACCTAGTAGAAGAATGTAAGAATCATTGGCGTTAACTACTAATATCATTTATATATAAGTTTTATCCACTAAATTTATATATAATTTTTATGAGAATTTAAATATTTTCATATATTTTGTTCGTATTATCCTTCTATATATATAAACATGTTAAATAATAAAAGGTATACTAAAATATTATTAATTAAATTAAATGTGACACATCAACATTTAAAGTGGATATAATAATAAATAGAAAAAAAAATATAGAAAAATATTTAATTTCTCAGGTTTTATTAATCTATAAATAATAGGCTAATTTTAGGTATTATATTAATGAGGAACCCCGCTTTGTGGGGTATGAATTTGTTAACATCATAAAAAATATGGGATTATTGATCGATTGTTTTGGTTGTTTGTGGTACGCTTTGACAGTTTGGTTCTTCATGGGTTATGTGCATTGTGTTATATTTTCTTGTCATTGTGGTTGATGTAAATAAGTATCATAAGGGAATGGAGGCTAAACACAATTTTTGGACTTAACATGTGTCATTGTATGTGGTGATGTATGTAACTTTTGTGTGTGTTTGGTATTTTATTTGTATTTATACATGGAGTAAATGTTCTTTATATACGTGGGTAATTTAAAGTGAATATAATAGATAAAAAGTCATACATTAAAAACCTCATGAACAAATAAACAAATAGAGTAGAGCACTATCAAAAATATAAAATCATTAATCAAAATTAAACACTCTGGATAAAAAAACCAACTTTTCCAAATTCAATAATTTTGAACTCTACATTGTGGTTAATGGTGTGCAATTCAGAGCCATTAATCAATAGTTAGTGGTTAATGGTGTGCAATTCAGAGCCATTAATCAATAGTTGTATAAACTGGCACATCAATCTTGTCTTCCTATTTGTACAACCATAACTGCATATGACACCAACATTACATTAAGTCTTGAATTTATAATTATTTTATTAAATTCGAAGGTTCACAATTTTAGGCAAAAAGAGAAATTGCAAACTCTTTTTTACTTATTCGTAAATAGTCATAATATTAAGGAGGTGATATTGAGTTAAAGAATGTGTAGATGGATTGCTTATTAAAATAAATAGTTTAAAGATGGAAACTATATTCTTAGTCGATAAATATGATAAACAAAATCCATTTGGTAACGGGAAAATAGTATGGTATGAAAGGTAATTCAAACGAAAATTACGCACCTTTATGGAAGCCGAGCAGTTGAATTTTGACTTCCAGTTGATGAATCTGTAGCACAAGATAGTTATAAAAACTTCAACCTCTTTCATTATTTACAGTATTATATATAAGATTAATAACATATAATAGCAACAAACTATATGAAACTCTCATTCAGTAATCCTAACCTCTAGTTGGCTCTAATAGAGACCTAACAATCAAATTCTAGTGATAATACTTTTAAGTCCTCTAATTTTTAACCCAATAAACTGCATTATAGTCAAACTATATGTACGGGCATAATTAAAAACTATATGTAGGGGCATTTTGGTCAAAAACTGTATAAATTGCTCAATTTTATTCCAAAAAAATGTTTGTATGTGCATTTTGTCAAAAAAAATTATTCTCTAAAATTTAACAAAGTAAACTACAATATGGTCAAAATGTATGTAGAGGCATATTTTAATATAATGTTTGTAGTGGCAATTTGATCACGGATATTATAAAATTTTATGTAGGGACAAAGTGTTAACTGTCTAAATTTCAATTTTTTAACAAAAAAAATCAGTATTTATAGGCATTGTGGTAAAATACTGTTAGAATCACTAAATTTTAACGAATTATTTATGTTTGTAGGGACATTTGGGTCATACTTGTTAAACTTATTATATATATAACCAAAAGAACTGGTAGTCGTGTAAATTTTGTCAAAAACTTTAAATTTTTATAGATTTTAACACAATAAACAACATTATCATCAAACAATATTGGTTGTGGCAATTTTGTCAAAAACTTATAATTTTTCTAAATTTTAACATAATAAACTGCATTATGGTAAAAGTGTATGTAGGGGCATAATTAAAAACTAAATGTAGGGGCACTATGGTCAAACATTGCATTTATGTCAAATAATGTTATTTATTTATATTTTAACAAAAAAAATTGCATTATGGTCACGGATATTATACAACTTTTTGTAATATTATATAACTTTTTGTAAGGACTATTTGTTCACCGTCGGCACAACTTAAAAGTATATGCAGGGGAATTTTCGTCAAAAACTGTCTAAATTTCTCATTTTTTAACCAAAATAAATATGTATTTACATTAATATCAAAAAAGTTAATAGCAGTCATTAAAATTAAAAAGTGTTAATAAGGGATTTTGGTAACAAACAATTAATATCAATCATAGTGAACCAAATAAAATGCAATTTGTTAAAAAAAAATTAAACTAATTCAATTTTAACCAAAAAAATTGTATGTAATGGATATTTGGTAAATAAAATTTAAAATCAATCATTGTTAACCAAAATAATTGTATATAGGGTAACATGGTAAAAAAATTTAGAAAATAATGTATATATATATATATATATATATATATATATATATATATATATATATATATATATATATCCAACACCACAACCAAATCAAACTAAAATTACCATTTTTGGTTCAAGTTGCACTTTAACCGAAGATCATTTTTTTGGGTTTGGAACAAATATCACTTTACAGAAAGAGCACCAAATTCAAACAAACAAATTACTATCAAAAATCCAAACTACATTGCTTAAAAAACGAACCATTACCTTGTATTTTCTAATTTAACCACTCATCCACACACAACGCCCAAATCAAAGCAAAATTTCATTTTTTGCTTAATGTTCCAATCCAAGAATGTAATGAACATACCTGTTTGGATCAGCCTGAATAAACCAATTGGAAATCCGATATTTTCCAAATTTTTTTAGTCAGCTATGCGATCATTAATACTCTGTCACCAAGTAATTAATGATTAATCAAACCATTATACCAAAATATAAAGGCTCCAACTAATCACATCAAGAAATTATACATGAAAAAGATCATTTAAGCAACATATTTCCCAGGTACCATTTCAAACTCTTTTCCGCTGTTTTTTTTGCACATTTCCTTCTGTTTGTTGACCACCATTCTTAGCCACAAAGGTTGCGAGCATACAATTTACCTCGACAGCTGATAAAGGAACTGAACAGTTGGGCCTACATTGAAATTACGTTGATCAAATTGTTTAAAATTAAAGTTGGAAATATTAAAACCTAATGGGTTTTTTTTGTTTCAATTATCCAAAACTTAAACATTATGCCTTCTCAAATATCAACAATGATAACAAAAAAACACAATACTATGATTAGGAATACTTCTCAAAGTACCAGGTATTACTTTCATTTCGGAAAAAAAGTTGGAATATAACAAAAATTAGGGAAAGCTGAAGTACCACTGAGAATAAACATTCATACATACAGTTTTGGCTTCACCAGTCTGAATGGAAACTATAGGTCCCAAACAAAACCTGCAAAATCAAACATACATGTTTAAAGCATTATAATCGTTAAATTTTGCAATAAAAAAAAATCAAACCATACACACATAGAAAAAAGCAAAAAAAAATAACAAATAAAAACCAAAAATTGAAATGAAAATAAATATTAAAACATTGCACTTTCAAAAAAAGAATTCATATTAAGGACCAAAACACCCTCTGTTTTATTTTGTTTTTTGGTCTTTCCTTTTAAACAAATCATGGTAGCAGAGGGCAGAGAGATTAAAATCATAATTACTTTTACATTAAAGACCAAAATACACTTCAAGTAAAAATGGACTTCACCTCGTTGTTTCTTTTCTGATCTTTTTGTGGCAAAAGGGTCAACTCCTGGTTCTGAGAAAGTTCAAAATTGTCAAATATTTGTGGATAAAGTTGTTGTATGTAACAAAATGAAGTGATTGTTATTTAATTATTTACCATCTGTTATTTTTGCTTCAATGATTGGAAGATCGTTGTCATCATTCACACGATCATAACCATATCTGCACTTCCAAGAACTTGTTTGTTCATCAAACACAAGTTTGTCCTTCTTGCGGTTTTGAATACCTGTCGAAAAGATTGATGACATCAGCAAGGTTTAGAGGGTTTAACAAAAGAAGAAACGTGAGGATTTTATTTACTGACCTTTCTTTTTGGCAAAAAAATTCCCACTTTGTTGGAGGTGCAAGTTTTTGGAGCTATAAGAATGAAGCAAAATAGGATTAGAAGATACTTTCAATTTCTTATTATTATATATATATTAAACTTGGCTTCCAACATGAATAGTAAACTGGTAGATTTTTGGCAGAAATGATCCATAACTTAAAATATTTTTAGTGTTTCAGATTTTTGGCACTATCGTCAATTTAGTCCCCTAAATTTTCAACAGTGTAAAGATAAAGATAAAGATGGACGCTGCTACGTGTCATTTGCACCGTCTGCCTCGCTTCCTGTGCTTCCCACCGTTTTCTTTTCTAGATTTCTCCATTTCTGAACGACACTTCTAAACACAACCACCACTCCTCCGGCTCATTTCAGATTGTTCTTTACGGATCTTCCCACCGTCTTCCTTTTCATCCGCTGTCTTCTACACCTCGTTAAATTCATCAACGGTTTCGACGTTTTCGTTTTTTTTTCCTCCACTCAGTCGGTCGGTCTCTGCCACTGATGATTATTGCCCAGCACAGCGGCCTCGGCGTAATTGATTACTAGGAAACAAGCACAATGAAGCTAAGCAATTGCCTCCCAAGACAACAGAAAATGAGAAGATATCGAAGGTGAATCGATTACATAAAGGAGTTCTTTAACAGAGATTGTGTAACCTTTACTTTTTGTTTATGATTTCTGCAATTTCTTATATTCATTTCGTATGTCGGTTAGGTGTAGATTATCACCATCACGCTACTGGAACCACCGATTGAGGCCAGATATTATCGATTATGACCAGCACGCCATACGAATCAGTGGTGAGTATTTTACCGGAGACGAGATCATTGTTTCCCGTGATGAGGTCGACAACATCGGCGATTTCGGTACTCTTCCTCCGTTGTTTCTCTTTTTTTTTCTCTCCTTACCAAGAAATCAAGTTTAAATGATTTTTCCCAAATTCTTTTAGGATGGCTTTGACAAGGAGATCGAACACGACGCCCCTTCACCCTACGCGCTTTGGGCCATCGGTATCGCCATTGATGGGTTCCAATTTTGGTAGTCAAGATTGAGGCGCTGAGGAGGTAAATTTCTGAAATTGTTTTGCGTTATCAAACTGGTGGAAGAGGACGAACTGTTGTCATAATCTTTCGTCCGTCCTTCTACAACACGTTTCCGCTCGACCTATGGAAATCGACCGAAAACACCAACACAAACCCACTGCATCGATGTCCCAACAACGATGAGCTCTCTTGATATTCTTCTCATCTGATTTTGGTTTTTCTGCAGGTGCTAATCTTGCCACTGTGGCGGTACAACATCTTACTAGGGCGTCGTCGGCAGTTTGAGTAAGGGTTGGTGGTGGTCGGATTTGGCTGAGTCATCTGAAACTTTAAATTTCTATTGTGCCTTTAATTTTGAAGGTACACTTGAAACCCTACAACTGGTTAATTTGATTGGATATGTTAGATTTCTCAAAACGTTATGCAATTGATTTCAAATTCATGTTCTTTGTATCATCTGAACCTCATAACCATAGAAGGAACAACATTGTTAGTAAATTGACTAGGAAGTAAGAGTTTACCCGATGTTGGATGATTCTTAAAGCAAATGGTTTATGGTCATCAGACTAATAATGAGAAAAAAATAGTTGCGTTCATTGCTGTTTACTTTGGAATAAGTGACAAAGTGGTTAAAGAATACAAGTTAGACATAAAGATGATTATATAACTATGATTTTTCATATTGCAGGCTTATACTTAACTATGAGAAAAGGGCAGATTTGTCAAAAGTTTGCAATTCCGTCTTCATTTGTCAAAAGTTTATTAATTTCTTGACTTTTTCAATTAGGCAAGGAAAAAGCTTCGCAATCATAGTGCTGCAGTGCAAATGTCAATAGGATTGGAAGAGGACTTTCAGGGTCTTGTGGATCTTGTGCAACTAAAGGCTTATTTTTTTCATGTTTTAGCAGGTTTGTATTTATTTTACAAGATATTAACTTCTATATATTTTTAACATGACTGCTCTGCTGGAAACCATTTTATGTTCCTGTGGTATGCTCGGTCTCTGTTCGAGTTTATATATAGAGAGAAGATCAAATTTAAGGGTACGGCTTATAAAGTGCACATCATGTCTTTGAGAAAATGCTTAAATGACTAAAATGGTTTTAAAGTTTATAGCGCCCCATTTGTTTCAATTACTTTTAGTGGTTTTCATCTAATTTTGACACTAGCACTTCTGTAAGAGATCATGAGTATTTTAATACAAATTTTACAACCTTTCAGTGGATATTTTGTGGCAACATGATCGCTAAAGTGGATTGTATAACCAATTATCTAGGAGCCCTTTGAATATTTTGTAGTTCCCAAGCTTTTATAGCATATTATTAATTATCTTTGTCTATCATATGCACAAGTCCTGCCTGTATATGTTGAATTGCATACATGAATTGAGATGTATATTAGTGTACTTTATCAATTGGTTTAATGACACGAGTCTTCTTTTTCCAACAGAATTTCATATCAATGAGCTTCAACAATCCCTCTTAGAAAAGGGTGAAGTTGCCAGCTAAGGATAAAAAGGATATTTTATCAGAGTTTGAAAAGTTAGAAGCTGAGGTATATTTCCATTTGATTTTTTTTTTCAACTTCTATCTATTTTTAGGATTTCATAAATAATGTCTAAGAAGAACAACTTTAATTCCATTTGGGATTTACAGATTACGGTTGAAGATTTCCCAGAAGCACATGTTGCTGAGTCATCTTCTATAAAACATAAAGATGAATTGTACCTCATGTACCAACACAACACGTGAAATTGTTGCTTCTATATTTCAACATGCAAAAAAGGGTCATTTTCTTTCTCTCTTACAACATATTGCAATGTATTTTTAATTATTTCGTACAACAAATTTGTTTGAGGGAGATGAGTTCCTTTGGAACGCACGACAAACAGCCATAGATTTCAATTTTTTTATATAAAAATTATCTTTTTTTTTTTTTAAATCACTATATAACTTTTTCCCCAGATATTGGCGTTTAATGCAAAATTAGATATGTCGGTAAGCATTCCTCATCATATGTTATTTCATTTTTTGGATATGACAGCTTATTCGGTAAAAAGTTATTATAAATCTCTTTCTTTTATTGATTCCGATGTGTACTTTGAAATTTACAGGTTGCTTTTTTTATCTGCCATTATCAATACTTCTTTCTTTAATGTGTGTTTTAATAGCAACGGTTGATGGATGGCCACCTAATTCGGGACATAATTGTAAAGGCTGCCAGCGAGGCTATAGAAGAAGTTTACCATGGCCAAGCTGTAAGTCCATAAATGATAATTTCATATAAATATATATATTAATATAAACAAACTTTATATAATTTATGTATCAAAGTTGTTAGGAATTGGTCAGTGTTGTCTTTTTTTTTTGGCAGATTGGTCCAGTTACATTTCAAACAAAATATCAACCACATCTTCTATGGACACTTGAACATGTTTCTTTGAAATGGAGCAAGAAAAGGAAAAACAGGTAAAGCATTTAATATAGAACTTATACTGTTATACATCTAATTATCACTTTTCATGTTAACATAAACCTTTTTAGAGCTCATGTTTTAATGTATAGAATGATTGTTTGCAGGTTCTTTCCGGCATATGATCTTCACTCATCCGGAGGTGGTTTCATATAGCTTAGATTTTATCATTTATCATTTTAAATAAATTGTTTTAAATGTTAAAAAAATTAAATACCTTGAAATGTCTTTGAAGGTCTTCATCAATGTTCCCTGGTGGTATTTAGCTTTCTATACAATGATGAGTCCATTCATGACCGAAAGAACTAAGAGCAAATTCGTATTTGCAAGCCCTACAAGAACTTCCAAAACACTTTTCATGTACGGTTTTACCCTTTTTGTTTTTCTAAATATTTTACTACAAGCTTATAAAAAAACTCATATTTTTATATTTTTCATTTAGATACGTCACTCCAGAACATGTTCCAAATCAACATGGTCGATTAACTGTACATTACTGTGATTGCAGTTCTCAATTCACCATTGATGATCCGGTTGTCGTTGATACCGTAAAGCCATGCTCCAAACAAACCATGGAGATTATCATAAACTAGGTAAAATTACGATTTTAACCTTTGAAAAATACCATGTCTTCTCTTACTAAAATGAATTTTTTTGTTGCGGAGATGTAGTTTTCTTGAAATTTTGGATGCAGGTTTCTCACTTATTTATATAGCCAGTTCAGAGAAGGTCTCTCGGTAAGTTTCCAGCCTTGTATACGTGTGTATAAATGACTAGATATTGTTGTTAAAGTGCCAATTTATACATCAACATTTTAGTGCTTATGAAGCTGAAACATCTAAAATTTTGGATGTCGGTTTCCCACTGCAAAAGAACGATGTATTCCCTGTTGTTTGGATGTTTCTTTTGAACACTTAATACTTAGATCTGAGTATTTGTAAATACACTATAATATTATTCTTTTTTGCTTCTCATTCCCGCTTTCACATATATTGATTGTTTGGTTACATGGTTCTTTGTCATGCGACATTGTTATCCAAATATGGAGTATGTATTTTGTTTTTTTACTCATGATAATGAAAATGCCCTCATCTAAATGCAATGAAAATCCCTTCAATTCAATTGTTTTTATCCTCTAAATTTACCATATATATACATGTTACAAAATAAAATATCCTTTAAAACACAAATATTACTTCCTACTACATACTAAGAGTTACGATCACCAATGACGCACTACCTATGACTATACGACATACATAACCGAAAACCAAAAGACTAAAAGCCTGGTTGTAACCAAACCCCGTGGAGCGGGGTACCCCAGCTAGTTAGTATTATATGCTTATACAAGCACAAGAGAAATGCAAAAGAATTTCTAGAAAAAAGGGGAAAGATTAAGAATGTTGTATAATGCTAGTGTGCATATAAACAGGAAACAGAAAGGAAGAGATGAAAGAGTGAGACAGCATACAGGTTTTTCTCTAAGGTAATTTTGTAGTTGGTGGAGGTAAAGGAACAATGGGTCCCGATGCATCTTGTGTAGAAGGCAAGCTAAAAAGATCCTCCTTAATATCAGCAAGAAGACAAGTTAGCAACAAATAAGTAGAGATAGATAATAATATTACAAAATCAAAAGACAACATTTTATATTCTGGGATTAAATGATTCTTTGGAAGTAGATGAGATAGATAATAGCAAAAAACAACATGAGATTCAATAACCTGAAAAATATTACCATCAGGACGGTGTAGTAGAGATAGATAATAGCAAGAAACCAAAATAACGTTTATTCGTTTACCTACACCATATCCCAATCGAACGATACCCTAGAAAGAAATTGGACCCAGCTGACACCTGAAAAACAAAATCAACTCAATACACAAAGGAACCAATACTTTGGACATACGTACCCTAGAACCCGCTTCGTTTCCGATGAGAGATAAGGAAGAGAAGAACGTCATCTGCTTGATGCGACATAGTCTGAGACACAAAATCGGGTACTTTTGGTTTTGGTCCAAGAAACGTTGTTCGCTTCATCAGGTCTATAATGGAGTTGAAGTCGGACAGTGGTGGTACTATGGAGTCGGCTCTGTTTCTGTTTCCCACTGAACCGTAATCGAATAGAAAAACCCCTTCGGGTCGATCTATTGCCTTTGTGTGTCGATTTCTTACAGAAGAAAGAGAAAGAGAAGGATTTGGGATTTGGATGAGGAGCGGTGGAAGGAAGAAAGAGAAGAGAAGGTTTGGATAAGCAACAGTAGAAGGAAGAAACGGGAAGGACTGATTAACCTACGCGTGTACACAAATTGGAATTTGATTGGGTAAAAAAGCGGTGAATCAACACGTGTCCACCAACAATATATATAATGACAGAAAAAGACACAAACAAAAAATCAACACAATTGAACATATATAAATAAACCGATAAACCGAGGACTATTTTGACCAAATCCTTAGCAATTTTACTGTTCCTAAGATATGGTCATATATATATATATATATATATATATATATATATATATATATATATATATATATATATATATATATTCCCATATTACATGCAGGTCCTCCAGTTATTGTGGCGGACAGAATTGGTCCCTACATTATATTATGTATAAACTGGTGGTTATCAATAATTGATTCACTATCTCCATTCTAAAAAAAATAGATATGACCCTTCTTGTTATTTCTCTCCAACGAAGGATATACAAACATGAGCACACTAATCAATCATAATTAATTGGCAATCGAGTGAATAATCAGAAGATAATCATATGGCCTCTACTTCTAAACAATCTATGAGTTTTCCTAAGTATGTACGTCTATCTCTGTAAGTCCATGAAGAAATCTATTTTCTTTACATTGATGTTGAAATCTCAACAAATGCATGATAATGGGCCACAATTGTATTATATATATATATATATATATATATATATATATATATATATATATATATATATATATATATATATATATATATGGGGTAATTACTAATCTAGCCAAATTAAGGAAGTCATTAGCAATTTTTAGCCAAAAATTAGTAAATGTCCAAATATAGCCCACGAAACCGTAGGTTTCGAGATTCGTCTACTGTTTCGCCAATTCGTCTACTGTTTCGTGTTTTGTATAAAAAAAAGAAAAAAAAAATTCATTTTCAAAACCGTAGGTATCTCGTCTACTGTTTCGCCAATTCGTCTACTGTTTCGCCAATTCGTCTACTGTTTCAACATACAAAACCGTAGGTATCTCGAAACCTACGGTTTCCTTAACCGTAGGCTACGGTTTTATGGGAAAAAATACGGTTTTTTTTAATCTGCTACTTTGGGGGTTTTAACTACTGTTTTGTCAAAAAAGCTACGGTATTAAAATTATTATTTATTTTTTTTATTTTTATTTTTTTTTTGTAATATAGAATATAAAACAGAATGTTTATAATATGTAGAATAATTTTAACAATTATTTTATTTAAATTTTAACAATTATTTTGTTTAAATTTGACTACTATTTGGGTAAAGTTGACTACTTTGTTGGTAAATTTGACTACTTTTTTGTTAAATTTGACTACTGTTTTGTTAAACTTGACTACTTTTTTGTCAGATTTGACTACTGTTTTGAACCTACCTTATATATATTAAGTATTTTATATTTTTGGAAATATTTCATATTTGGGAAATTTGTTCTCTGTAGCTTCTTTATTCTCAAAATTAAGATAATGAGTTGTAACGAATATTTTCTATTGCTCATTACGGATGGAAGATGGGAGTTTGTTAATTCCCAATTATCATATGTTTGGCCACCGGGATACAATCCGAGAATGTTTTATTTAGGTGTTGAATTTTACGAAACCACGACGTTCACCGAATTTGTTCATTTGGTGAAGTGCAAGATGGGTCTTCATGAAGAATCAAAAGTTAGTCTGGCTTATCAACATCCAGAACAACTCTATTATTGTGGTATTGTTGATGATCGTGATATTAGAAAGCTGATCAAGGTAATAAATGTCGTTGGAGATAAATTTGTGTATGTGTATGTGGTGGTTGAAGAAGGCGTTTGGCGTAACGAAGTGGATGATAGAGGAAAGGCATCCGCAGCTAATTTATCAAGTGGAAAAGGGAGCAACAACCCATTAGGTAATTTTAAAAGTCCAAGTAAAAGTCAATATCATAGTGTCGCTGAAAATGTAAATGTAGTGCCAGAACCGATTATGTATGTTACACCGGAGAATTATAAGTATATCGGTGATAATGATGTTGGTACATATGTTAATGATGTTGGTGTAAATCATTCCTCTGACAAAAAAAAAAAGCAGTAGCCGTGGTGAATAAGGTTGGTAATGAATCTGGAAAACAAGAAGTTTCGTTTTTGCATGATGGTGAACTAAAAGGATATGACGAGTTTGCGGATTGTGACAAGTTGGATATATCCGGCCTAGAGAGTGATTCTAACGGAGAAGAATTTGATGACGAACCTAAGCTTATTTATTCAGATACCATGTTTCATGGTATGCCCCCTTTGCCTTCGTGTCCTGTAAACGCTGATGTGAACATTCCATGTCAGAGGGTGGATATAAGTGAAGAGATTAAGGTTCTAGACATTTTTTATGACAAAGAGTTGCTCAAGCTTGCAATTGGAAGACAATGCATGGAACAAGGTAAGCAGTATAAGACTACCTGATTGAGCAAAGAAAGGTTCGAGGTTGTTTGTTTGGTAAAAAATTGTTCATGGATGGTTAGGGCAAGGGGAATGCAATCGACTACTACTTTCCAAGTCACAAAAGTTGTTGACCAACACACATGTTGTGCAACAAACTTGGAGTCTAATCATCGACAATCAAAGAAAAAGGTACTTGGGCACTTTATCGCTGAAGTATTGGCCGTAGATTATAATAGAGTTTATCGGGGTAATGAAATTGTGAGGGACATCAATTCGAAATTTACAATCAATATCTCACACCAACAGGCATGGCGGGCAAAACAGTATGCGTTGCTGATGTTAAGAGGTACCAAAGTGGATTCATTCACCAAACTACCAGTGTATCTGCACAACTTGGTCAAGCACAATCCAGGAACTGTTACTCAGATAAGAACAGACAAAATGATGATCGGTTTGGGTTCGTGTTTATCGCGTTGGGTTGCTCGATAAGCAGTGATAATTTTTATAACAAATATAACATATGAATCCTAATTGGTATTTGTTAATGCAATAAAAAATAATTGTAGGTACGAGCGTTCATAAAATATTGTAGGCCGACCCTAATAATTGATGGTGGTCACCTAAAGGGTGAATTCAAAGGTACGATTTTGCTCGCAGTGACAATGGACGGTCAAAACCAAATCATGCATGTTGCTTATTCCATATGCAAAAGTGAATGTACGGATACGTGGTACTGGTTCCTTCGAAAACTACGTGAATGTATAGGCAACCTGGAAGACCTTACAATCATATATGATAGGGCTCCATCCATAGCGACGTCAATTGCAAATATATTTCCTCACGCCCATCATGGAATATGTGGTATCCATTTGTATTTCAACATTTCAGCAAAATTTGGAAGCAGCGATACAATACACGCATTATTTTGGGAGACATGCAAAGCCTATACTATTAAAAAATTCGATAATGGGATGAAAAAAATATAAAATGTAAATAATCGTGTATGGGAATACCTACAAAACATCAATCCAGAAAGATGGGCCAGGGCACATTTTCCTGGGAATCGGTATTTTCTTATGACATCAAATAGTGCGGAGTCGATAAATTCAATGTCAAGATTTGCAAGAAAGATGCCAATATTGATGTTGATTGAGTATTTTCGTGCAACAATGCAACAATGGAGTTTTCAGAAACGTAATGTTGCAGGTACTAATATTTTATATATAATAGTACTTGAAATGTTATTTTACTACTCTTATGATATTATGAAATTATGTCTATTTTTTTAGCTGAA